ATCAAGTTGCTTCAGGAAACGGGCGCCAAGGAACTCAAGACGCAAGTCGATCTCGGCAGCAATTTCTTTGTTCAGGCCAAAATGTACAGCTCATTGTTTGAAGCGATGATTCGTGGACGATTTATCACTCACGCTGTCGCGCCGTGTAGCCCCGACACGACCTACATCTACGTGCAAGTCGCATTCGGCTTCCATGTGCAGTTTACGCTCCCCGAGGCCATTGCGTTTGCTGAAAAGAAGCAAAAGCAATTGCAAAAGTGCGTCGACCCTCGCGCGGTGCTTATCCACCCATTTCTCATCCCTCACCGTCACGATTCGGTTCTGTAGGCTGGCCGAGGAGCACACGAGGCAAGCCAATGCGCTCAAGGCACAGATCCACGTTATGCAGCAGACGCTGCAACAGCTCGTGCTTGCCTGACGGCGCAAGCGAACGTTATTATGCTTGGTGGCCGTTGTTTTGTCGGCCTTTTTTCCATTTTCTCACCCGGTTTTGCTCTGTTCTGTTGGTGTGTTGCCTTTCGCGCCCGCTGGCGCCCGAAATTGAAATCATGTCATCCATTTCGAGCAGCTTTGGCAACGTGACAGCGCGGAGAGCGGCATCACGTCCCAGAATTGACCGCCATAACCTGAGTTTCGAGCTGAGCAAAAACGAATCATCATTTTGAACGCTAAGACCAACGCAAATTACACGACACAACCCGACCCAGCACCACTAACCTCCCTGCCATCTCATCTCGCGCAGCACGACGTCTTACAGGAACGGCTCGAGGTTCATTTCGAGCAGCGTCACGGGCAGCGCGAGCTCAAAGTGCCCAAGCACCTCCGGGTGCACAATCCCGAAATGCCCAATCACGTTGCCGTTGTAAACAATCTCGGCGCGCCGGCCCGGGAAGAACGACTCGTTCTTGGACTCGCGAATCGCGTACTGCGTGGTGGGCACGTTGAGCATGGCCATGACGCGGCCGAGCATGCCGTGAATAATCTCAAACGCGGACTTCTTGTTGGCGTAGGCAATGCACACGCGGCGCTCGTTACGCGCGCGGCGCTCCTGCGTCTCGTCG